TCTGGATTATGGATTTATTTTATTGCTGATCTTTTCAGGAGTTTGGCAGCTGGCTTGAGAGGTGCAAACGGGCAGCCTTCGCTGGCAGGGACAGGGATGCACCGCATCCCCGTGAGCTGTCGCAGGCTCAGCTCCCGGAGGGCACTGCGATAAACCCCTCGCAGCCCACTCCTAACACAGCACACGCACACACAAACCCTCTCCCATCTTTTCTAGCAAAATCACCCAAAAGAGTGCCCTCTTCATATGAGCCTTTTGGCTCCCTGCAAGACCCCGCTGTGTACCTCAGCTGGTTACTGCAAGATGAAAGTTTCCGTAAGGCATGGGCTGTTTGAAGGAGCGTGGCGGGGAGGCGTTAAAGAGAGCTGACTCTTCCTCCCACCAAACACGCTCGCAAACCCAGACGCACAGCTGCTACCCAGAGGGGCACAAACGGGGAACCGCTTCCCTTCAGCAAACGCCAACTTCTGCAAAAGAGGCTGCAGCCTCCCCTAGAGGGGCACCAAGCATGTCAAGGCAGCCCGCAGCTTCGCCTCGACTTTTACGTTAGCATTTCTGCAACCTCAGACGAGATTATCTGCCCTGCTCCCAGCGCAGCAAAGCCTCCGGCAACCCATGCGATACGCTTTGCCGTCCCTCCAGGTTCGCCACCAGCCTGCTGGGGTGGGACGATGCTCTGAGCCCTGGCAAAAGGCACTGGCATATGTAGGAATGGGGGAGAAAAGGAACAAAAAAAATGTGCTAGAGAAATGATTCAGCTTTTACAAGCCAGCCTGCCTGATCTCATCCTTATTTTGCTCTTTCCCAGGAGGAAAGTATTGGCAGGGAGAAGTAGGAGGAAGGATTTCCTTCCACCGCATCCAGAAACCATCCCCCACAGCACTGCCCGGCTTCTTACACTTTCAATAGTTCATCTATAACCTAACCTGTTAAAACAGAGAGTTAGATAAATAGATCATTTTAGATAGAAAGCCCCAAGGCAGGCAGGCAGGCATCGCGATGCGGAGCGAGATGAGGACGAGGAATCGGCGTTCCTGAATTCTGCACGATTCCTCCACTGCCTTGAATGAGTCACATATCCTTCCTGCGTCCCAGATTCCCCCAGCTGTAAACACGGGATAATACTTTCCCTGTTTAACATTATAAAACGAGGAGGGGGGTAAACCAGGCTGGGTATGGAGAAACTGGAGTTTTCCACCTCTGTTTTCTGTCTTCGCCTTCAAGAAACAGCACTCTCGTTACTATTAGAGCCTAATGGCTGTGAAAGCAATATTAAAAAAAAAAAAAAAGCCAAGTTAAAGTAACAGATGCAGAGACATGAACCATCCCCTGCCTGCAACTCCAGACAGGCTGAACAATACGGAGAAAGCTCCAAACTGCTCCATTCAGGGGGCTGCCCAGCTCAGCTCTGACAATAATTAACCACCAAAACAACATTGCCACACCAGGTAGTTCATCGATGACAAATCATGCAAGACTGCAGAGGGAAATAATAATACAAGTACCCTGCACACAGTCCTTTTAGCCAGACATGACAGCAGGTATTTAAATAAGCGTTCAATCGTTATCACTTAGGGCAGGAGGAAGCATTTGCTGGGGGTCTAGTCGCCTTCGCTCAGAGGTTTGCCGAGAGCAGAGTACATCTATCCTCCTCTGCTTTTTCACTGACCATACACAGATCTGCAAACACATGCATCTTTTAAGCACCGACCTCCAGCAATAGCAAAGAGCTCAGGGCTGTGGCACGCCAGACGAGGACGACGGCTAAAATACTGGCTGAATAAGACTCCCTCCCTGCTGCGGCTCTGCCTGGCACGCTGCGCGCTGCGAGACTGCCTTGCCGCACGCAGGATGTCACGCTGCGCCTGAACAAACGCGGCTCTCCTCCAGCCCTCTGCCTCAGGAGAACATTAATGTTCAAAGACAAACCAGGGAGGCTGCAGGGGACTCTGGCCCAGGTTAATATTAATAGAATAAACACCAGGTGCCATGGGAGGCTGGCAGGAATCAGCAGAATCCCTTGACTCCCCAGTTCCGACTCTCATTTATAGATAAGGCACTTGGAGAGCTTAATGTGGCCAACTACTTCTTCAGGAATTACCTGTTCTTCGTGCCGCCATGACATCCAGTCTCCATTCTGCCTTTCTCACCGCTCGGCAGCACTCCCTACATCAAATCTGGCCCTGCGCTGCCTGGAGGTGACTTCTCCCAGTCCCGAGGGGAGACTTGGAAGTAAAAATTGAAGGATTTGTTCTCCTGAGTTTGAAACAAGAAAGTAACACAACAGATTCAAAGGAGGAACTGATATACATATTGTTATGAGATAAGTCAGAATTGAAGGCAGCCTTCTGCAGAAACTCCTGCTCTGAATTGAGCGGACCAGCTGGAGCATCAAGGTAAAGCATCGGCGTCTGCAAGCTGTCGTGACTGCCTCCAAGTCAGCAATCGCAGCAGAAAAGCTGAGGAGTGACCTGCGTGGAAGATCTCCTCCTGCTTCTCAGACGCCATCTCTTAGCGATGGGCTGAGACTTGCCTGGAGGTGGCACAGTACGGGGGTTTGTCCTATGCATGTTAAGAATCACCAGCAGAAAGTTCACCAAAACAGCTCAAAAAGAACTCGTGAGCCTGAAATAGCGCCTCAAACCCACTGTGCCTGGCTTCTCCACTGCCAGCTCTGGGTGCTCTCCCGGGTGACATTTTGATCCCACTGTACTAGCAAGAACCTCCCTACCTGCTTTGCGAGGACTTCACTCACTGATGCGCCCAGCCAGCCCTACTGCCCTGTCTAGGCTGCGGTCTGCACACATGAACGCCTCGCAGCCCCCAGGTGCACGTGACAGCCGAAAAACCACCACACAGGGCATTTTGGCTCCGCTCCTGGCCCGACTATTGGCTGGGGGGTTCAACTGAAGCCAGTGTGAAGTTCTCACGTCACTGCAGAGCAGACTGCCTTGTTTTGGGGGGGCTCTGTCCCCACTTTAGTGTTCCTAAAGGGTGGCAGCTGCCCCAAGAGCCCCAGCTCACATTCACTGGCTACAGAGCAGCAGCAGGCAGAGGCACCTCTGTCTTGCTGCTAGCCACTGCCCCATTGCACGGTGGAGCAACAGGAGCAGGGCCCCGCGTCTCCTCTGCTCTTGGAGTTGGCAGCTTAACGCCAGCCTAGCATCATCCGTGACTTACACCCTGCCAAGGGTTAGTTTGAGCTAAAATGTGCATAGAAACTCCAGGTGCGGCAGGCTCCAAAAGAGCGCGAGCAACCTACAGCTGGGGGGCAGGCACAACCCAAAACATCTGTAGCAAGACAGAGCGCTGACAGACAAGCGCTGGCTGGGAAACAGGCCTCTGTGGGTTTTGTTTTCCAATGTAAAAGGTTATCCTACGCACTGCACAGCCCATTTCCCTTCTAGCAGGGGAGCCCATGCTGTGCTGCATGCTTATGACAGCCAGAGAAACCCACCGCCCAGCTGCACACAGAGCAAAGGAAACGAGCAGAAAGGCATCTTCTGCCTACCAGAGCCCTAAAGGACACCCCAGACAGCCAGATGCTAGAAGGAACTGACTCCACACATTCCTCCTTAAAAAAAAATAAAGAGGAAAAGGTAACTTTTTAAAAGTTACTTTTAGAGGGTGGTAATCTGGCAATGTATATGAAACCACAGTACAAAGCCACCAAGTAAAGAACTTCTAAACCAAAGTAAAGGAAATCCCAGTGCAGCACAGGTAAGAGCAAAAATCCCAAGATGGCCAAAGGAAAGGAGAGATACCATCCGCCCTGCCAGCTGCACTCTCTCCCCTAGCCACAAAACAGCCCTCGTGTAGCACCTCTAGGACCAGATTCATCTGCTTCAGCCTTTTAAGCAGACGCCACCGCAGCGCAATACCCGGGTGCCAAGTGGAGGGGCAGGAAGTTCTCGGGACTCATTAACAACTGGCCAGACAGCATGCACTACAAGCGCGCAGGGCTTGGAAATCGCTTGACCATTCTGGGCTGAAATGACCATCATAGGCTACAAAGCTCATCCTGGGCTCTCAGACCAGGCAGCAAGAAGGCGCTAGCTAATCATGTTCAAAAGCATCTTCAGAAGCCTTGAAGTGCTGCCACCAAACTTGGGAAAAAGTGTGCATGCCAAGAGCTTGTTTGTTTTAATTAGCGCTCCCTTCTCTCCCTCTCAGAAAATGGCCTTTGTATTTCACATGGAGAGGAGGAGATCGCTGGTCTTCATCTCAGGCTTGGACTTACTGTCCTCACTCCTCAAACCCTGGAAAGGGAAGAGGATGTTATCTTACAGCGCAGAGGGCTGCCTTTCTATGCGACATACTGCAGCTTTTGACATAACCACTGTTTGCTGCTGTGACCTGCAGCTGGAGATCACAAGCTCCAGGGGCAGCCAGCTAGCAGCAGGGAAGCAGGCCCCCCTGGACGCAGCAGAATACAACGCATTGTTTGCCACACCAGTTTAAGTTTGGGCAGGTTTAGCAAGGCTTGGAGCACGCAGACCTTGCAGGATGCTAATCCTGTTCTGCACAACACTGGCGCCCAGGGCTGAACGCTAGCTTCTTTTGAGAAGAGCGTTGCCACCTTTCCAGGCAGAGAGCACAACCCTTGCTTAGGCTGAACCTGCTCTCCAAACTGGCACATCCACTAACCGATGGGCACACAAAAACGGGTCTAACGTGTTGCCAGAAGGGCCCTGTTATACCTGAAATTACAGCGTTTGGCAAGCTCATTCTGCTCGGAGCAGAGCAGCCCTTCTGTCCTACCAGTAGGGAGAGAAGGCTTCTCTGAGCCAGCTACGTGGAGCAGCCTGTGTTCACAGTATACAGCCTCTGAAGTGCCCCTCGTTCACATGAGTCAGCATCAGCCGAGCCGGGAGCCGCGGTGATAACGTGCTGATGTGGGCACCGCTGGCGCTGTACCACTCCCTGGATTAGACCCGTCCCCAATGAGAAGGGCTGTGTCACTTCTCCAACCTTGGCATTGTCACATAAGGTACAACCGCCAGCTGGCGAGAGGCAGTACAGCTCTCGCAGAGGGAGGTGACTCCTTGACCAGTATCACACCCCGACAGAGCTGCCTCCACCCTAGGGCTTGTACCTTCAGACCAGGGCTAGATAACCTGCTGATGCCAGGTAGTGCTGCTATTCTACGGCTACGTGGTACTAAACCCACAAACCCACTCAGCTAGGCATCAGACTCACCAAGGAACGGCAGAGGAATGTTTCTTTGCCCTGTCTGTCCAGCTTTTCTATCTACCAAGCATATCCAGTTATCGTGGTTAATGGAAAGTCTGGCATGCTAAACTTTGTGTTTCAGGACTTAAATCAAGGCTCTGAGAAAAGTAAATGGCGCAAGTGAAGCCATTTCCCTACCGCAGGATTTTGCACCTTCCTGGGTATCTGAGCGACCACCGTTGGATCAAGGCTGGACGGAGCCTGGGACCGGCCCGGTCTCACATCCCTGGCGCTGACGGAGGCTGCAGCGCAACTTCCCACCTTGCTCCTGGCTCACAGCGCTGGAACTCAAAGATGCTGTTGTTTCTCCCCCTACCTCTTGGGAGAATGTTTTCGATGGGATTTTTCCCCCTCCTTAAAAAAGGACATTTCACTGTGAACTAGCAAAACCTGTTCTGGACGCACACACAGAACTGTTCACCCTCTGCGGCATTTGCAAGCAGGATTTTTTTTGCAGGATACTATCTCGGCTCTCTCCTGCGTGTGGGCGCCTGGCAGCCTCACCCAGGGAACATGTAGACCCACAAGAATCAGATAAGTCAGGCCTTCCTAAAGGCAGGAGCTCAGGACCAAGCCCTCTTCACCGCCTGCAGCACCACCCTGCTTTGTCCGGGTCTGGAGGAGGCCGAACTGGCAGCCTCTTCTCGCTGGGAGGCAAGGGGGAAAATCCCACACCCAGAGCTGCAGCAACAGAGAGGTTCTGAGAGGGTCCTCACAGGCCTTGGTCCTGGCTACGTTTTCCTTCAATCAACAACAGACATGGAATTAACTGCAACATTTTAGGAAAAATCTTCCACATGTTCGGGTTTGGCAGCACCTAATACCTTTAAGAGAGCCAAAAAATAACTAATCCTCCTTCTCCTTCAGCCAAGGAGCCCAAGAGTGGGACTGGTGGAAGGAGGGGGAAGAAGAGTGAAAAGTGAAAGAGGAGGAGGAGAATGCAGGAAAATGGTAGAACTGGGACCAATCGCTCCCAGATCGCAGAAAAAGAATCTCTAAAGCTCAGATACTTCTGCGTCCCAGCCCCCAGGATGCTCCAAAGGAGCCAGCAGTGTCTGTCCTCTGATAGCAGACTGCCCTTCTCTACTTCCCCGCAAAGCATGCAATTCACTTCTGCAATGGTACCGTGAATATTGGCAGCAAGCCTCGCGTTAAACGCAATTTCTTCAGATTAAATCAGTTTCCAAAACCCTGCAGCAGCACGAGCTGCAAAAGAACTCAAGGTGCAATTGCACCTACACCTTATCTCCCACTTTTTAGTAATGCCCTTGAACATAGTGTTCAAATAAAGCATGTGCGTACACACACAATATACAAACAGGCCACTAAGTCAGAATATTTGGGCTACATCTCACCAAAGAGCTGCATGGGGTTTAATTTTTCCACGAGCAACTAGAACGGTTCCTTTCAAAAAGTTACATATGGAACAGAAAAACACCTGCAAAGGCCACCTGTGATTTACCTCAGTTTAAAATAATTCTCCTGGTGAAAAGTTTCAGCAGATGTTTTAGGATGACGCACTCGGACTTCAGAATCACGTTACTTTTGACTCACAGATGCGCTTTCACCTCTAATTGCCCTGCTACGACAACACAGCAGATCTGCACAAGTAAAATCCTCCAACAATGAATTTTCAGTGCAATCTTTCCCTTGGAAGTTGTAAAAAACTAGATGCAGGGGATTGCTTTTCTGTCGCAAGAAAAGGGATGGGGGAACGACTTAAGGAATTTATTATTTTGCTTTGCTGCTTAAGCAAAATGCTTTTACATGAATTACAGCCAAGAAAGGAGGCAACACACGTAGCAAACATATTTGGACCAAGCTTGGAAGTGTTGAAACATTACGCCTGGAAAACACACAGAGCCAATTGGTAGATCAGTGCAAAACTCATCT